ATATATATATATATATATATATGGTACAAAATTGTTAAATATGGTTATCTCAAGATCATGGGTTTCAGGTATCAAAAAAAAAAATTATTCTCCAGAAATAATTCATAGAAGCCAAAATACGCTTGCCACATTGTCTATAATAACAAAACAAAAACAGGAAAATGATTTGATAATAATCCTAACTCCACAGTGAACTATTTTATAGTTACTAAGTAATCATGATGAAGACTGCTCTTACGATACTAACGGAGCTGGTGGAGGTAATGAAGACTGTGGAGAAAGCTGATATGCAAAGAGCAGCAGAGGGTACAATTCTCCCCCTGCACAAATAGGTGCCACAAGGTGGCTTAGCATATGGAAACAATTATACAAGGAGAGGGAGTACGTGTCTATTAATAACAAGTGTCTATTAATAACATGTGCTTGGAAGATTTTGCCAGAGAAGCCATCAGAGCCTCAGCTGCTTTGTGGGGAGATTCTTACCACAAACACAATTTCTTGACTTACTATAGGTCTATTCAGGCTATTGCTACTTGAAGCAATTTTAGTAATTGACAGTCTCTAGGAATTTGTCCTTTCATCTAAATTACCTAATTTGTTACCATAAAATATTGTCCAATATTGGAAGTAGGGCGCTAGAAGTTACTCTTATTGTGAACTATTTCTCCCTTCAATTAAGTCAGTTTTTCTTGTGTTTTGGGACCCTCTTGTTAGGTAAATATTCATTTACAATTGTTATATCTCCTTGCTGAACTAACTATTTGGTCATTCTGAACTGTCTCTCTCTCTAATAATAGTTTCCGTCTCAAAATCCATTTTAACTGATATTAGTACAGCCAGTCCAGTCCTCTCATAAATTTGATAGATTCTCTTTATTCGCCTTTTAACTTTCAATCTATTTGCATCTTCTTGCCTAAAGTGAGTCTCTAGTGTGCCTTCTGGGATCACAACTCAAATAAACCATCAGCAAATGAGCCCTGTCTCAGGCTCTGCTTTCCAGGGGAAGCCCAAACTAAGATCATGGCTACTCTGAATGTACCATAAAATCGATATATCCTCAGTCAGACTGCCTTACCTTCCGTCTTGAACCTTTATCTTTTCCATGATTCCTTACTAAATTCTCGGCATGCCTAGAAAGCAAACATAATCTAAATCAAAATTACTTTTAAATGAGGACTTTTAAAAAATAAAACACTTTCTGTATTAGTGAAAGCTCTTAACAATATTTTGATATGATTAAGAACTACTACAACGAGGAGTGATGGCTTGCAGCTGTAATCCCGGCTATTTGGGAAGCTGAGGCAGGAGGACTACTTGAGGCCAGGAGTTTGAGACCAGCCTGGGCAACGGAGTAGACACCCCATCTCTACAAAAAACAAAACATTAGCCTGGCATGGTGATGCATGCCTGTAGTCTCAACTACTCGGGAGGCTGAGGGGGGATAATTACTTGAGCCTGGGAGTTTGAAGCTGCAGTAAGCCATGATTGTGCCACTGCACTGCAGCTTGGGCAACAGAGCAAGACCCTTTCTCTAAAAATAATTTTTTACAAAAAACCATTTCAGATTAGCAAAGCATGTTTTATTAAAGCAATAAATGTTAAAGCCTTCCTAACATTTTTACAATTTCAGCATAATTCAAGACAGAAAGTACCTTGCAGAGAAGAAATTATGTGTTTTAACAAACTTGTGTGTGAGGGCAAATCTGCATCCTTTAAGAGTTCTCAGCCAGGCGTGGTGGCTCACACCAGGCACTCAGCGAGGCCAAGGCAGGCAGAATGCCTGAGGTCAGAAGCTCGAGCCCAGCCTGGCCAACATGGTGAAACCCCATCTCTACTAAAAATACAAAAAAATTAGCCAGACTACAGGTGTGGTGGTGCACACCTGTAATCCCAGCTACTCGAGAGGCTGAGGCAGGGGAATTGCTTGAACCAGGGAGGTAGAGGTTGCAGTAGGCAGAGATCATGCTACTGTACTCCAGCCTGGGCAACAGAGCAAGACATCGTCTCAAAAAAAAAAAGAGTTCTAGAAATTTTCTATAATTTTATTAGTCTTTCTGAAATACTGTTTTATATTTAATATAATTATATTTCTAACAGAAAGACTTATCTTCAAATGTTTTATTTTTTCATATTTCATGTTTGTTAGGAACTAAAATAAACATCTGCAAAATATCAAACTGATTCTCAATTTTTAAACTTTCATTCATATCAATATACCATGTGGTTTAACAAAAATACAGAATTGAGCAAAAAAGTATTCTTGTGCCTTCTAGTGGACATGTAGTATAAAATCCAGGAATTGACCCCTAGGTTTAAATGTTAGCTTTGCCCAAACTTGTAAAAATTTGGGTAAGACATTTATAACCCAGGTTTCCTAATCTCTGAAAAAGGATTACAAAATATGACTGTCAGAAAGAACAAATTAAATTATAGGGCTTATATATAAAATGAGAGTTTAGGCCAGAAGCAGTGGCTCACACCTATAATCCCAGCACTTTGGGAGGCCAAGGCAGATGGATCACCTGAGGCCTGGAGTTCAAGACCAGCCTGGCCAACGTGGCAAAACCCCATCTCTACTACAAATGCAAAAATTAGCCAGCACGCTCCTGCGTGCCTGTAGTCCCAGCTAGTCAGAAGTTGAGGCAGAAGAAAAGCCTGAACCTGGGAGGTGGAGGTTGCAGCAAGCAGAGATCACACCACTGCACTCCAGCCTCAGTGACAAAGGGAGACTGTCTCAAAAAAAAAAAAAAAAAAAGTTTATACATAAACTCCTATTAATTGACGGTCTTTGCAAAACCCATACAACACAGGAATTATCATATTTGTTTCAGCAAAAAACCATCCAACACTGCAAGTAAGAGGTAGATTGGAAATTCCAGCCAAAGCTCGCCCCCACCCCCAGCTCTGGGAGTCTCTGCCAAGGCCTGAGGGTGGAAAGTTCTCTCCTTTGTGTTCACAACTGACAAACAGTGGGCAGAGGGGCGATTGCTGGCACGTCCTGTTTTTAGTGGCAGTGATCTCCAGAATGAGTTAGCTCAGGCCATGTAAAAGGGGTGAAACCACCCACCTGTGGGTGCTTTAGCTTCAGGCACACTGAGAGACTCACAAGTGAATTATTCTCCCCAAAGTGAGCATCATCAGCTTTCTACTTTTTCATGAGCAAATATTAAAAGGTCAAAAATAGATCCTGAGGCAATAATATTAAAATGAAAAAACAAAAATAAATATAATTAACTTAAAAGGCAAAAAAAGCTAATAATTTTCCAAGCTACTCTAGTATTCCTAAAACATACCAACCCATTTGGAAGGGCTAAGGGGTAAAATCTAGAGAAAATGAAGTATATCCATAACTTATTCCCAAGAACTGGCCATCACTGAAACCAATACGAAAAATTCCCTGCTGAAGCATTCCACGAGAGCGGCACACATAAAGCTCGACCACAGGGCACGCAATCCTTCCAC